ACTAACTGTGCGGAACACACTAAGTTATTTCCGACGCAATTGCCTGTCCAATAAGAGATTTAATATACTAGACGACTTTGCCCGGGTATTTTCTTATCGTAATCGTGTATTATGCACCTCTGCAAAATCCACACTTATATATTAATAATTGAAATCATTCAAAGAATTGTCACCCAACTGAGAATCGTGGCAAACGCTAGAGAATCATTGTTACTTTTCTTCGCAATCATTAACTGTGCGGAACACTCTTAGTTATTTCCGACGCAATTGCCTGTCTAATAAGAGGTCAAGGTGGTGACGATGGAACTTTCTCGTGAATTTCAGGCTCCTTCGACAGCGGCGTCCACACCCACCTCCACCAAGTCCGCGCGGCGGCGCGCCGACTCCGGGGCGTCCCCGGCCTCCTCCACCGCGTCCACGCCCGCCTCGGCCTCCTCCACCTCCTCCACGGCCACCCCCACCACCACCACCTCTGCCCGCGCGCGAGTCTCGCCGGCGCCGAGTCTCGCCGGCCGAGTTCTCGCCGGGCCGAGTCTCCGCCGGGCCGAGTCTCGCCGGGGCCGAGTCTCGCAGCCGAGTCTCGCCGGGCCGAGTCTCGCGGCCGAGTCTCGCCGGGCCGAGTCTCGCCCGGCGAGTCCCGGCCAGAGTCTCGCCGGGTCCGGTCTCGCCGGCCGAGTCTCGCCGCAGGCCAGTCTCGCGCGAGCTCCGGCCGAGTCCGCCGGGCCGAAGTCTCGCCGGCCGAGTCTCGCCGCGGCCGGTCCGATTCCCGGCCGAGTCTCGCCGGGCCGCAGGTCTCGCCGGCGCGAGTCTCCTCGCGGGCCGAGTCTCGCCGGGCCGAGTTCTTCGCCGGGCCGAGTCCTCGTCGGCCGAGTCTCGTGTGGCGTCGTAACACCGAGGGCCAGAACCGTTAGGTTGGTTGAAAAGTACCTAGCGGGGGAGGAAGGTGTTAAGCCTGAACATCCGGGAGTTTGCGCTCGGGCGCGTTGGACTCGTGTAGTGCCGCAGAGCCAAAAATACCGGAGGCTGTTAAAAAACTCCGAGGGATTGCTGCCGACGAGCCTCGTTTACGGAAGCAGGCAAGCCAACCTAAGAACCCCCGTTGTGGGGGCGTAACCAAGGCTGCCTGCGAGTCTATTCCACGGAACAGTGCTGGTGGGGGTGTCAGCCTCAACTATTTTAACGCGGCGCCAATCTGCTGCCCGCGTTCTCATTCAGTTTGCATCGCGTAGCTTGTACGGTGTAAGTGTACAAGGAGGTGTTAGCAGTTGAGAGCGAGATTGCCGGAGAGTAAGCGGCCCAGGACAATCTCACGTGCTGTTAGTGCACACCGGTCGCCACGACCGGCTGTTAACTTTTGCGTCAGGCCATGTGACGGTAATTGTCACGGACAGAGGTCCGACGGCGCGCATTCACGCCGTTGGCTTGTGTTTTCTGCGGTAAAGCAGTGTTCAGAAAGGGAAAAGTTGCCGGAGTGTTTTAAAATTACCAATCGATTGTAACTTGTACATATCTTTGAATAGATTATTTTTATTTGTTATTAAATTATTTCTTAATTCACTACGTCACAGACTCGCAACCTTTTTTTCTTAATTGGTGGCAGCGGTCTTCTACGAAGCCCACGGGTGGTAGTAAGTGAATCCATCCCAATTTTGTGTCTTAATTGGTGGCAGCGGTTTCTACGAGGCCCACGGGGCGTAGCTAAGTTGTACCCACCAAATATTTTTCTCTTAATTGTACGCGGGTATTAAAGTGTTACCCACCAAGTTTTTTCTAAGTTCGGTGGGCAGGGTTTTTTACGAAGCCCACATGGTGCAGCAGTTCACTAGTAACAACGCGCATTAGGAACCGCGGAAGTAGCTAGTTTGCAAACCGCCTGGGGAACGGGCAAGTGCTGCGCCTGAGTCATTTGTGTGCGGCGCTGGAAAAACCTGGAACAGTAAAGCGTTGTGCATCGGAAGTGTGGTTGCACTCGCGTCGTATTCACGTGGCGTCGCGGCAGTTGTCGTTGCACGCCACGGCTAAAAACGAACTGTGTGCGGTAATCGGGTACCGAAGTTTCGGGCGGTACAGTGTCCGACTCGGAAACCTTTTTTTTCTTAATTGGGAACTGAAACTGGAACTAGTCTAGTGTATGGTACTGGTACATGGTACTGGAACTGGGAAGAAGGACATCCCGGCGACCAGAACGAGAGGTAAGGACGCAAAGAACACCGTATCAGGAAGCGCGCACGCACACCGAGGTCAACAGAAATGTAAGTTGTGTTTTATTATACCAGTGCGGTGATCCAATTCAAGTGCGCAATGGCTTTTCTAGCGGGCGTATCGGAAGACGGTACTTGTTGAGCGGTCGCCATGTGAGATGGGGGGAAATTTTGGAGGACGGAAACTGATCGTTAAGGTAAGGTATTAATTCACGGAAGCGAAGCAGTTTACCGATGAAGATTTTTGTTAAGGGCAACTCGCCGATCAGGTGAAAGAACAGGTCGCTGAATTTTCACCGGCGAATTTCGAAGAGCGAAGAACGGCCAGCGCGAAGAAGAGAACGGCAGCGCGAATTCGAGGAAAGGAACGAGGAGCGGCATTACGAACTTGAAAGGCTGATGTTAAACCGAATCAGGCTACCTCGCGCGAATCTTTGGTGTTAGTAGAAGATTCGGGAACAAAAAAGCTAACATTTCGTATTAATCAGGTAATGGCATAGATTTAAGGCGAAGCGAGGGATTACCTTATTTTTAAGTGTTTTCGAAGCGCATGCTCGTTCAGCTCGACAGTTGCGCCAGTTCGAAATGGGTCAGTCCAATTAATGGGACTGCTTCCCCAAAATGAAATCCAAAATACTTTGGTTAGTTGTTAGGATCAGATCACCAAGAGCAAGATTATGACCAGATCAAAATCTCAGTTACTAACATGCTATAAATTCACGTCCCGAAAACGTGTCGTCAATGTTTTGCAGTCACGCAAAAAGCGGCAAAAACTACTTGCTAATGG